GGTTCTAATCCTAAAGGGACTAAACATTCGATTTTGGGTTGAGGATATTGAAGGCATTTTATTTTTTGTTTTTTTTTTTAATTTAAAACATTGAAAATAAAAAAAGTAACCTGCAAACCGCCGCCCGGGTCAAAAGGTTTAGCAGTCTGACCGCCCGAGTCACTGGTTTTCTGACTTTTTCAACATTTTTTAGAAATTTCCGGTTTTTAGTATAACCGGACCAGGGGGGCTGACTGATTACCGGTTTTTCCTCTCCGACCATCCTATCCCGTCCGATTTTGTAAACGATGATTGAAACCCATCGTATAAATCATACACTTATAATAATTTAAAACTTCTAAAACCAATACTTATGACACCATACCCCTTGTATTGGCATCAATTCCCCCATTGATACTATTCTCAACTGTACAATGATGTGAAAATTTATGAGATGAGTGTAAATGAAAATTCCTCTAGTTTTAAAAGCCCACCTAACAACATCACAAAAACATCTTAGAAAGGGAAGCCTGTCTGAGTGAGAGATTTTGAGAGACATCATTTCCTGCTTTATAAAATAGTCGGTACCCTTTACCCAATTCAATCCATGGATCCATTGGGTGAATCGACCCACTTCCAATTCCATATGCCAAAGTGGGTTGGGTGATAAACCACCAATCCTATGAATCTTTATTTATGAAGTTATTAACTTCTATGATGCTGAAAAAAGATATGCTACAAAAGAGGTTTGATCAATTATGGTTCCGATTAATTGATTAGAAGATTTTCAGATATCATGTCTATCTATCTGGTATCATAGTCGAATCCAGGATGTTTTCTCCCTAAATGAATTCGACATTTCGACCCTTACTATAGCCTAACTCCAGTATTGTCTTTCTCCTTTTTTCAATAAAGACAAACAAAGTTTGAACAAATTTTCACAAACAATGTTTTGGAATATTGGAGGATGCACATTTCAAATGCTTTCCCTTCCACTAGAAGTGGTGGTTGAGATGTTCTACTCCCAGCTTTTCCTCCCACTACAAGTCACGTATCTGTCACATGCTTTCTTCCCAGTTTCAACCCAAGCATCTAGGTGAGAGTTGAGACAAATCTCCCCAAATGCCATTTCAAATCCAACAAAATCTCTCCTTTTGTTTTCACACAGTGGTTAGATTTTATCTTTCTACTGCGAGGGAGGCCGGAGGGGTGTGTGAATATATTCCTACTTCCTAGGTTCTAGATATAATATATATATATATATATATTTATTTAAGTTCTTCTCTCCATTCATTTCCTTCTATACTTGGGATGATCATGGGCCGGGCCGGTTTTTTTATAACATACTAACAGCTTTTAAGGTGGCATGGGACCAGACCAGAACAGACCCTTGGGTCGTCTGGTCTTGGGTCAGGTCGGGTCGGGCATCCCGGTTGCCTGTTTAAATTGATAGAATTATATTTTATAAAAAGTATTTTGTTAACTTGATTATGTTTTACAATAAAAATCACCCAGGGCGAAATGATCAACCCTATTGTGCACCCTCTTTTAATGCTTTCCGTCAATTTGTTTCTTGCATTCAATTGTAGAAGTTGACATCCATGATCTTCCAAGAATATTTGTATGTATGCGAAAAGTAAAAGAAACAAATTATTATTATTATTATTATTATTATTATTATTATTATTATTATTATTATTATTATTATTATCCCTTGTAAAAAAGGAGAGTCGTGAAAATCATGTGTTATCTCCTCAAGTCTTGGTGGAATACTTTTTCACATCCCCCAAGGGTCACCTGGATAGGAAAAGATGATAACTAATTACATAAAATTTATTTATTCTAATTATTGATATATAACATGCGTTATTAATTTAAAATCCTGTTTATCACATTTTAAATGATTACTAATATTTGATTTTGTAAATTTATTTGCAGTTGAAGGATGTTTGGAATCCTTTTGATTGTATTCTTTCATTATTCAACCAAAGAGGGGATAGGGCCTAGGGAGTAGGGGCGATCATGGACTGGTCTCGGCTAGGCTTGGCACCTGTTATTAGGGCTATAGCCCAGACCCGGGTCCTTGGGCCGGGCCGGGCTTTTGGGTCTATCTCTTTAAACATATAACATTTAACTAGTGGAATGACAAGTAAAAATAAGAAAAAGTAAATGGATGAAAATGCATTTAGATTTTGATTTTTGTGTACTTTTTAAATGCCTCAATTCATTCATTTGGTTTTTTTCCTGTCTTAACTTAACTTATTGATTGGATTTACAGATTAAAATATTTGGACACTTGTCATTTGTGAGCATCCACTTTATATAACATATGATGTTATTAAAATATTTTGATTTAACTTTCATTCTCTGCTTGAAAACTAAGGCAAGTATTGGCATATAATATTATATGACATATAGTATATGTTATAATTCAATGAAAACATATATATTGTGGATTAGACTTGATTAGACTTGTTCATGGGCTGGGCCTGGGTTTGGCACAAAGCCCAAACTCGAAATAGTATGGTTTTGAACCAATTGATTGGGAACCGATCATAACTCCGAGTCAATATTTAGACCCCAAACCCATCTGACTGAGATTCGGGCCGGACAGTTGGACCATTTGACCTAGGAACCAATAATGGCCAAAGTTGTTCTATTTGCAGATCAGTTTTTAAAATCATGCAAAACAGTGTAAAGCCGAGCCTGAAGTCTAGCTTGTGAGAAGGTATAGAAATGATCACCTTTGCTAGGGAGAAAACTAGTGTTTTAACAACTGAGTTGAAAAAAGAGCCGGATGGTGGATCTATGGTTTAATCACTTAGATCAAATCAGTTAATTCATTATATCATAATTAAATAATAAAAATAAATAAAGTAGATAAATGTGCACATTTCTAATATTATATATTAGACATTAAATAAACCTGGGCTCTACATAAATAGCCCAAATCAACTCTCAATTAGTTTTTAAGCTGTCCACTTGAGCCTTTTTCAGACAGTTTATCCGGAACCCTTCAAACCAGCTGAACCAGTTTAATTGAATGTTCAGCTCAGCCCTCCCAAATGGACACAACGTTTATATTATTTGTACAGATGAACCGGATTTTCTGAACCGAAGCTTACATTCAGCTCAGCCCTCCCAAACAGGCCCTAGGTTTTGGAGGTTGCTGACCTTGCGGTTGTCTGACTTTTCCCTTCATTTTCTCTTTCTCCACTAATTCCGTGATGTTAATGAACTACTAGGATCTAGGACCATCCAGATCCAGATGGCGGAACCTATTGACTATTGTTGAGAAGCTACAAAGGAAAAAGCCACAACCTCTTGGTCTCAGGGTTGCCCGTCCGGGTCATAAGGAATATGAACTAAGCATGCATTTCTACGTTGGTTGTTGATACTCTCTCAAGTCCCCAACTCCCAACCGACTGGGCCGAAGGTGTATTACTTTTTCTAATGGGATAACTCTTTTTTTACCAAAGCTGAACCTCTTGTATAGAAAGACTGAAAGACTACCTGGTACAAATTGCGATCGGATGGGCTACACATTTTATTGTTACAATGCAGGCTGAACTTTCATTTGCGTTGTAATTGTTCTTTTGGAGAGACGTGTAAAAGTAGGTGGGTTAATACTCCCGTTATTCATTTTTTTTCATTTTCTTCAAAAAAAAAAAAACTGAAAATGCTTTTTTCGGCAAGTCCTCTATATTCTTTGTCCTGTCTGTTTGTATTTAGGGAGGAAGGCTTTAAAATTTAAACAACGAAGAGAGCATCTCAATGGGTAGAAAGCTAAATGGAATTTGGAGTGGGTGGTGGAAGAAGACTTGAAGAACTCTGTGGTAGAAAAGAAGTTTTTCGGCAAGCCCTGCATCCTCTATTCTTCAGATGGAAGACATACATTGATTACTCTCTCTCTCTCTCTAGGTTCTTGGGTGAAAGGATTTGAATAGGGTGAAACTTATTTTTTGAAAGTGTTTTAGACTTTTAGGGTGGAAGGTTTTTAACAAGGCAAAACTTCATAAATAGTTGCTTGACCAAAGTCCTCTTGCCCGGTTGCCCCTACGGCAATAATGTCGAACCCTTGAACCTCTTCCTCTCCCCTTGTCTTTTTTGCCCAGTGTCTCATTCTTTTAAAGACTCTAATGCATCATATTGCACAACTAGTTGGGATCTCTCCATTTGCAACATACTTAATAAAGGTATTAAGATCTTTTAATAAAAGCTAATTAATATGGTTTGATTAAATATCATATAAAAAATCTATGAGATTTCAGAAATCTTCAAAAAGACAATCAAAGCCTTCATGTATAATTTATTAGAATATATGGACTCGTTTTGAGCAAGAATGTCAACTAACTATAAGGGAATATAGAATTGGTGTGATATTGTTTAATATGGTCTTGTTACTACGTATAAGAAATTCATGTGATTTTAGAGACGTCAAAGGTATCCGAAGCTTCCATGCTCAATTATTAAGGTATATGGGCTTATTTTAAGTTATTGTTTGTGGGAATTGGGAATACTCTCTCTCTATTTTTTTATTTATTTATTTTTTTTTTGTTCGTATTGTTGGGAGAAAGATTTTGAACAATAGAGAGGGACTGCCTTTGCCTTCTCAATGGGTAGACAAATATATAATTGGAGAAACAAATACCTGGCTGGGGTAGTAGAGGACTTGAAAAGAATATTGCAAGAGAAGCGTTTCAATAGGTTCTATGTTCTCGGATGGAAGACATGAACCACATGTTTTAACCCACCTCCCATTTCTTTTACACGTCTCCCCAAAAGAGCAACGTGTTACAACGTGGATGAAAGTTCAGCCCATCTGGTCTCGTACAAATTTTGGCCTTTTCTTCAACTTACTGGGCTTTGGTGGATAATGATGGTTTAGCAATGGAAAGCAGTTGGTTCATGGCCTTAAAGTTTCCAGATACAAGCAGAACAATGGATGAGAGGATCAAAGTGTACGTACTCACTAGAGCTTTATTCTGCAGATCAATCAAAGGGTTGTGTGTTAAATGGGATTTAGTAGTAATGGATCCACTCAGCAAACTGTTACTCTGTTAGCCATGGAAGAAGGTCCACAATGGGTGTTAGGCCAGCTCTTAACTATGGCCCCAATACACTTACATGAACAATAGAGGCCCACAATTACTGCTCCGTGTTTGTTGCAAATACCTTACATCTCTACACTCTAGAGTAGAGATTGCCTTTGCACATATGTCATTATAAGAAACGTACATAATTCGGAGCATATATACAGCATGTTAAGTTATGCAAGGTACGCTCCTTATAAATGGATGGAGTTGGGGAATTGGAGAGTGATCTCTTATGTCTTAACTCTTAACCACCCATATAACCCTTGTTCATTTAACAAGCTCCTCCTTCCTTCCTGCTTCTTCCAACTCTCTTAGTCCTCCAACCTTTTGCTCGATCTCCTCGATAAGTTCCTCACGCCACAACTCTGCTCTAGCAGACTCTTCTATATCCTCTTGCTGCATCACATTAAGGTCACAGAATCATTTTTAAGGCTTTATTGATTGGGGTCTTCCTGTTGTTAGACCTTTGTGCTGCAGATTGGAAATGGGTCAACCTATAGCCAAAGGCCCAAGGCCGGTGTGTAAAGATAGGTGGAGTGTATTTCTATTTCCTACCCAACCCAACATTGTTATGGGCAACGCCCAAAATTTGTTGGACTGAGATTACTACGGCCTATGGGCCTGTATAGAATTTGACAAGAACCAGAAATTAAACTCATTGCCAAATGGGGTTCATCCGATCATCTGAATTGAATTGGTAGAAGAAAGGAGAAAGGCATATACCTTCTCATAGACCCAGTGCCCTGTACCATCTCCTCCATCTTTCCTATATTGTTCTCCATCATAATATGGATCCTAAGCCAACCTCCTTTAATGTTAAAAAACAGAAAGTAGGAAAAAAAAATCCAGAACCTGCTATGCAAAATTGCAAATGCAAAAAAAAAAATCCACAACAGGTAAACAAATGAGAGGTAACTTAATGAACTTACTTTAGTGGATCCAAAGAAACAACATCCCCAACAAGTGAACATGATGTAAATTGTATCTATAATAGAAATTCCAGACAAGCTTTAAAACTTCAAACTTAATCGATGCATCATAACAAAGACAAAATGAACAGAGAAGGAAGCGACTCATTACTTACAAATGGTCTTTATAGTTTCATCACTGAGATGCCAAATTGACTTGTGAGTAATCATGTCTCTTTGACCTTCCATGTGCTCAACCATAACAGCCATTAGAGGCCAATCCGGGAAAGCATTTGCCTTGCATAAATGGCCTCTTTTTCTCCTGCTACCTTCACTCTACAAAACAGAGCCACTGTTGAGGCAATTGACAAAGCAACTAACAGATCAAATTAGTTCTATCATCGGATTTGGCTATTAATGGGCTAGCATAAAAACAATGGATTGTTGTTGCTGTTTGCCTGTTTCTGCAAATGTGTTCTTCTCTCAGCCTCAGCAGCTGAAACTGTAATGAACACTCTGAATTTGCAAATCAATTCAATTCCTGACTGAACCCAAAGTTCCAGCAATTAAATACTACATAGTCCACGAGAGTAAAGTAGTAGCTACCTGAAACCAGCCGTTAGTGAATCTAGAACTTGAACACTGCTTAAGCTGCATGGGAAACGTTTAATCTTCAGTATTGGGAGTGGTCAAGGATTTCAGTCACAGAAAGCAGGAAGAGAGATATCAGTGCCTTACCGAATTCGGATGTGGGTAGGCATCGAATTTTGCTGTTTGGTAGGAAGGGCTGTGAATTTGTGGTTTTGGCATGCTGAAGCCCATGAAAGCCTCAGCCATTTTTCTGCAAGTCAGGGGAAAATGTAGTTATACACTTGTGCTCTGAGAAAGGGAATTGGATGGTTTGATCCTTCGTGTATTTTTGTATGGCATAGTATAAGAGTCGTTATGCTTAGGGTGAGAGAGAGAGTTTAAAAGGATAAGGGAATCGTTCGTCTCCACTCCTCTCGTGGACACACGACAAGAATTCCTAGATATTCGACAAGTACCCCTGATGGTCAAGTAAAATGACCTATGTATCCCCTATTTATATTTTCGGTAAATCTACCATGCCGGACTGGTATGATATCGGAAGAGTTTGACTAATAAAAATTCTCCTGAATTTTGGTTACCACTGCTATGATACCGGTTGATTGGTAAGGTTTTTCGGTATCATAGGATGGTTTTAGATGGTGCGCGATCTGAAAGAGTTTGACTAATAAAAATTGACTAGATGTTCTCACATGGCGAGTTGGGTTAATTTGTAAAACAGTGCCCAGAGGGACTAGAGTGGAAGATCCGGTGAGGTTGTTCTGATGTTTAAGTCAGTATTCTGTGTGCTTGCAAGTTAAGTATGAATGCTAGAGAGCTTGAATGCAAGTAATCACGCGTACCTCTACCTTGAAGATCGATGCCTTTATATAGTTGGATAACTGTGAGTCACACGGAAAAGCTTCGGGATCTTTGGGATAAATGGATAAGATTCGTTTCGTTTCCGAAGGAGAGGGATGAGCCAATTGATAAGGTTTATCTCTTCCCTCTGATTCGAGCATCGTGAGGATAAGTCCTGTTAACGAACGTCGTGATCCCGAAGGGTTCGGAGTCTGTTGAATAAGCTTTCGGATTTGGTTACATGGCACTTCGGTTCTTTGGCCCCGAATTAAATTAGGGGCTGAGGTGCCTTTATGCTAAGATGATCTTACACCGAGGTGCTCAAGCGCCCGAGCTCCTGAGCTGCTAACGAGGCTCCCTTGCTGAGTTGTCATCCTACTGGTTTATTGCATCCACGTGCACCTTGGCCCGACCTTGGCCATTAGGTCGGGCCAAATCACCCATCATCAATTTTCATCATGTAGCCAGGTTTCAGATGCAGAGTCCTTTTGGGCATACTACCCATGTTGCCATGTGGATTATTCGTCATATGTGCTCCATTGATTCTTTCCATGGTTTTTAAAAATGAACCGGTTAGGGGTCTGATTATTGGTTCGAACAGTCCGATCGTTTGACCCGAACGACTGGCCCGCTTTGACAAAAAAAATAAAAAAATAAAAAAATTAGAAAACGGTCAAAACCGTTCGAACGGTTAACCGTCCAGTTCAGCGGTTTACTGACCAAAATCAATAGTTTTGGGGGAAAAAGCGGTTTTGGAGGAAAACGAAACCAGTCAGGTGACAGGTTCCCGGTTTTTCCAGTCTGGTCTGGTTTTGAAAACAGTGATTCTTTCTCTATAATGCAGCAACTGGTCCTGTCTGTGAACCGAGCCAAGTAATCAGTGGTATTATGGATTTCGTACTATTGTTGAATCGAACGGTCGGATTGTTTGACTCGGAAATTGTTCAGGCAACTTGGGCTTAGGGGTAAATACAAATCAAGCTATTCAAGCTTTGTTATTGCATTTGGCATTTTTTATTTTAAGGATTTATCTTTTTCTTACATTTAAAATGCTCTTCTTGAACGCTGGATTTTTAACTGCAAAAAGGAGATAAATCCCTTCAAATAAGGAATGCCAAATGCAGCATAAATTGGGTCCAAATCCAGCTTAAGCCCAATATAGCTCAATTGCCAATTGAGTGAATTTAGATAGTATGAAACTCAGCTTGTGAGCCTAATTTTATATAATATTTAAAAAATTTTTTATATGTATAATAAGAAATACATTTTTTATTATATAACCACTGTCTTACTGCTCAATTTGAGGCAAATATACAAACTTTTGAGTGGACAATTCCACCTTATAATAGCTCCAATTGGACTTGAGCCAGGCCAAACTCTAACCTTATGCTTTTATATTGAACCAAGCTCTTTCAGCTTGGCCCGATTCATTTCCACCCTATTTGGGCCTGAGCCTAGTTGAGGGCATTAATGGACCCGGCCCAGATAGAGTTGAGTCAAAACTCAAAAGAATACTTTACCCATTAGCCATCACAACATTTTTGGGCTAATCACCAGTGAGTTATTAGATTAGTGGTTGGGTAGGGTCTGTCCGAGAATTTCTCTTTTTCATTGGACGGTCTAAATAGGTAGAAATTAGCATTGCCAACAGAGGACAACGGGAAATAAAGGGAGGGCGGAACACCAAAAAGCCAAACATATCAGCAAGAGCGATCACGGTTCAGTTAATCGAACAGTGGGCTAATTTTTGAAATTGAATTGGGGTTATCGGTTTTTGGAAAACCAATAATTGAAATTGAATCGAAGCCGATTGGTTAATCATCGATTTCTGGTTTTTTATTATTTATAATATTTATTATAGAAAAATATATAAATATATAATAAAATATTAGAAATATGAATAATATTATATTTTCAATAATAAATAATATATTATGTATTATAAATAGAAATATATATTTATATATAATACATATTTATAAATTTATAATGTATAAAAAATAATATATATATATATATATGTATGTATACTGATCAATTTGGTTAACCGTGAATTATCTATTTTTGTTAAATAAAACCGAACTTACCGATTTGATTAACCAAATTTTTAGTTCTGCTTCGATCAATTCGATTTTTAGGTTTTTTTACTCACCCCTAAGAAAAAGCAATAGCCAAGAATCCCCTACTAGGCCTACTAGGCCTACTAGGGCCCAAGGCTTCAACCGTATAAATACAATATTCTAATCCCAACTTTGCTTTGCCTTTAGGAAAAGTACAGAAACACAGAGATGCAGAATTCTGAATTCCAGCCCCCCCTACAACTAGTCCTTTTCCTCCTATAAACCACATCCTGTCCGTGAATTTAGCATCAATTCACGATCGTAGTAAATTCTGATCTGAACTGATTGGTCTCCCTTTTTTTTTCAAGTTGGATTAGATAATAATAAAGGACGAAGCCTGGGAGGATCCATACAAGTGTGGGTCGGGAAATAGCTCAATGGGGTTGGGGTTAGCAGACACTTGAAAAAATACTAGCTAGCCTCAATTAGAGTGCTAATTTAGTACCCACTTACTTGCTTTACTCAAAAATCACATCAACATTTTTAGGCCTAACCAAAACCACCAAACCTGCCATTCCGTTCCTTTTGCTGCCCTTTCTCCTTCTCTTTTTTTTTTTTTCCTTTCCTTTTCAGAATTCAGACGCGTCTTTGTACCTAATCAAAAACCTAAGATTTTCAGCTTGCTTATTATATAAGGAAAAAAAAATCCTCTATCTGGGAGGCTGTGAATATAAAATAGTAAACCTAAGACATTCATATTCCAAGTATTTAAGCAAATTTTCTTAATTTATTTTTAATTACAATGAATATATATGGAACCTATGTCTACATATAATTAAATTAAAAATATAGGAAAAGAGAGCGAGCAAGTTAGAGCAGGTGCATTTAGTACCACATTATGAGACCACCAAACCTAATATATATATATATAACACTGATTGCATCGTGGTTGTGACGTTGGAACTTGGACGCCGCTGCAGCCTCGTCATTATTCTCTTTTATTATTTGGTTGATTGTTTTCTTTAAGTACATATCTTTCCTTCTCTCTTCTCTCAACTCTCAAGAGCATTTGTCTGGCTTTGGATTCAGAGAAGAATTAATTAAACAGTTTGATTGCTACGTAAAATGAAGGCAGGAGCGCTCGAAGTCCAAGTTGGAGGAGCTTCCATTTCCAAGCCTTCAACCCCAGCACGAGGTGAACAGAGGGATCTCCGTACTGGACTTCGTTCTGAGACTAGTCGCGGTTGCCGCTACAATCGGGAGTGCCGTCGCCATGGGCACGACTAATGAAACACTTCCTTTCTTTACTCAGTTCATCCAATTCAAGGCTCAATACAATGACCTCCCTTCATTCACGTCTGTTCCTCTTCACTACCTACCTACTTCACATTTCCGATGATGAATTCATGAGTTCTTGCCTTTTCAAGCTACCTACCTGTTGGCTTACTTGATTATATACATAAATATATTATTACTCCGTGTGAATCTGCAGGTTCTTTGTGATTGCAAATGCGGTTGTAAGTGCGTACCTCATTCTTTCTCTTCCTCTGTCCATCTACCACATCGTCAGGACTACTTCATCCGCAAGAGGGAGTAGGATAATCTTGATCTTCCTTGATGCGGTAATTGTATAAAATAATCAACGCTAGCAAGCTTTTAATTACATGCAGCAGTTTAATATAATCACTCAGTTGTGAACGATACAAGAAGCTAACTCACGCATTTGTTTCAACTTAATTAACTCCGATCTTTTTGTGAAGGCGATGATGGCGCTACTGACGGCCGGAGCTTCGGCAGCAGCGGCGGTTGTGTACTTAGCACACAAAGGCAATGCTCGGGCAAATTGGTTCGCCATCTGCCAACAATTCAACTCCTTCTGTGAACGCACCTCTGCATCTTTGATAGGTTCCTTCATCGGAATAGTCGTGTTTGTGCTACTACTAATCCTGTTGTCATTCATGGCCATCTCCAGACGTTGATCGATTTGGTAGCCCCTTACTTGTCCACGCATGTTCTCTAGTACGTACTCCGTGTAGTATGAGTGCAGCTGGAACTGGAAGAAAAATCTGTGCAACTGTTCTACCTTATTTCATACGTTTGTGTTGTTCTTATCTGTATTTGTTCAAAAGATTTTCTTTGCTTGTGGCTGGGATCGATTAATATGTAATTTGATCTAAGTCATTCCACTATTAGTGTTTCCCTGAAATTGCTTTGTGGGTGGTGGAAAGTCTTGGCATCAGAAGACAGACGCAAATCAACTTCAGTAATTTGACGTAAGATCAACGCCGTTCTCGATCCGTCTTATTGTCCCTGATGGTTTACACTGGTGACTGTGTGAGGAGTGCCAATTAAGCAAAATCAAATAGAAGAATCTGATCCCGAACAACATCTCCAATTCCATTCTCTCTGTTTTTTTTGGTAATAATCTCCAATTCATTCTGTGCGACAGTGATGCGTCTGATTCATGTATTATTCGTACGCATATACTATTCGTGTACTTTATAAAATAAGGTAATGCACAGCTGGCCTATTAGCTCAGTTGGTTAGAGCGTCGTGCTAATAACGCGAAGGTCGCAGGTTCGAGACCTGCATGGGCCATATCTTTAAATTTTTTTCAGTTTTCAAATTGACTTATTATTATTATTGATTTGATGACATGACCTGACCCATTGGTAGCACTACTCAAGAAGACAAGATCATCTCCAACAGTATCAGTTTTGTTGAGCTTTTGTGGGTGACTTTAAATAACCTTTTGTTTTATAAAATTGAAAAAGAAATATGAAACTCTAATGGTTTTGGGAAGCGATATAAGAGTAATTTTAAGTATGTAGAATGATATGGAGTGATATATTATTAGGGCAAAAACTCTTGTCTGGGTATATTGGACACATAACTAGTTTGGGACCCCGTGATTAGTTCACAAGTTGGATGGGTACCTATCACGAAGAATTTGCACAGCCTTGGGCAGATCCGTTCAAATTTTAGCATATATCAAACCTGAGTCCGTCCAAATACAGCTTACCCATAACTTGTCGTCAACTATATCCTACATAAGGATTGTCAGGTAGAGTGGGATTTGCCTTTGGAGATTTATTGGGCCAAAAAGTTGTTTTATAATGTTATAAAAAGCGTAAAATTATTCAAAAGAATTACTAAAAGAGTATGATTTCAGTTCCCTATGATATCATTCAGCATACTACAGCAAACTCTTTGCTATGATTTTTCTTAAAGTTATCCCTAATAAATCCTAAATCTATCACAAACCCCACTTTTATGTTCCATATTTTATTAATCAAAATTTTAGAACAAAGATAAAAAATGTTATTCATATTCTTTTTATTGTTATTATGAATGAAACTTACTCTTTCAGAATTATATGTTGTCCAAAAAGCAAATAGATAAAATAGTTAATAAAAATAGAGCAGAAATTACTATATATGTTTAGAAAATGAAAAAATAAAAGAAAAACAATGCAAAAATCATCATACGGAGCTGAAGAAAAACAATACATAAGTTGCACATACCATCCAAGGTCTCCAGGAGGATGTGGTTTACTGGTCCACCTCATTTGGAGGTGGTTTCAAACTTTTACTCTTAGAGATGACTTTCGCATAAAGAGATAGAGCTTATCCAGTTGCCTATGAAGCGGGTGGGGCAAAAGTTAGCTCCATCGATGAGGTGACGTGATCCCAGAGGATTTGAAGATGATAGCCCGCAGGTAATGGTGGTTAGCCACATCATCATACAAGTTGCCAATTGGGCCTCAATTAGGTCGGCAGTGAGAGGTTGCCCTGAGTTGAGGTCTCTGCCTAGTCTCGAGATCACCGGTTTGACTCAGTCAAGGTGTTCGTAGGTTGCCCCTATTGACGTGGTGCCGGGATAGTGAAGGCATGCAAGCTGTGCCCGAGGTGTATTCAACGTCATTGCCTAGGTGGCACTAAGGTATCATGCATCGGTTCTAGAATGTCATGTGTCATGGTGTCATTGGAGGGTCAAATCACCTCTCATCAATCAATTCCGATTCCAACTGTTTGGTTGGATGGAGTTGAAATCCCATTCCGATGGAATGACATTGTCCCATTCGAGGGAATGGCCAATTCTTTGTCTCTTTTGGGAATGAAATTTCATTCCAATTTATTTCAGTTCCTATTTGAACCAAACAGAATATAGGAATAAATCATTTTGATTCATATTCCAAAAGATTTTAATTCCAACCCTGACTGTAAACCAAACAGACAGACGTTAATGAAATTACATTTGCCCATGTGAAAGAATGGCTAGTTTGGCTTCCATTTTGGAATGAAAATCTCATTTCAATAGAACAAAGTAAGGGGAGCATGGCACCGTTCGATGTTGTAACCACCGTTTGAAAAGGATGTTTTTTTTTTTGTTTGGAAACGATGCTGCCAATTAGGAGGTGCATATTTCTCCTTTTACCCGATGCAAACCTCCTTGAGAATTGGAACCCAATTCTCATTTCCATTTAAACCAAACGGATGGCGGTAATAGTCAATTCTTATCAAATTTCATAGGATTTCGAACCAAACGAACCCTAATATTTTTTTTCGGTGCTGAGTGCTGACATACAAAAGTACAAACATAAATACTAAATGCAATCAACTGTTGAAGACAAGTGTTAACATATGTCTGAGATAATTCGCATAAACGAAATTGACAGGGAATGCAGTTTAATAACTTTGGGTTCAAATTTAATGGATAATAATCATTTTTAACATAATTTTCACTTGATAGCCTACCTCGTGTATCATTAATGGTGACGGGATCTGCTCCTCACAAATGGGCGTCTTATACGTACATCGACCGTGTATTCGGAACATCTTCCGTGAATACATATTTTCAATGCATGATAGGATGTATCTATGAAGCGCCAGTTGTGAGGAGCAGATCCTGTCTCTCATCAATGTGAGTAGGAGTTTGCTTTTTGTGTGATCATTTAATGACTTCTGTTATGTTTTCACAGATTGTATTTGGTATCATTATGTCGTTTCTACCTGGGGTTGGAGTTTGCTTTTTTGTGTGATCATTTAATGACTTGTTAGATATTTTCACACTTTTTTTGTACCATTATGGCGTTTGGTTGAGGGTATTGTCACATCAAATATTAGAGTCATTTCCATTCCCATTTTAATGATTAATGATTAGATTTAACCTTTTAAATGATTTATACGAATAACCTCTCACACAAGTTTGGATCTGCTCTTACAGAGCACGCTTCACACCCATCGTGCATCTAGAAAATCCCCATGTTAAGAAAAATTGAGAAAGGAGTTTTATAGCATTTCTAATTGATTTCTTCTCATTTAACTCCAACTCAAGCATTTCTTTTGGGTTATGTCATCACAATTCAAGTTGCACTTTTGTTAGAGTGGCTAATTTTCTATGTTTTAGATAAATTTATATTACTTTTTTGTATCTTAATGTTAATTCTTTTAGGAATTTTTAAAATTTTATGGTTTGTAATTATTTTTAGGTAATTTTTTACAAAAATACATTTTTTTGGTTTGCAATTATTTCTGAATAAAATTGGTTAAGGGTAAATTTAGTATTAAAAAATTAATGCATTATATCTATATTTTTCTATTTTAAATGTTGACAGATGGAAAATACCTATACCTTGTTTCAAAACAATATAGAATGTTTTTGTTAATGTCAAAACATATATAGGAGAGGTTCATAGGAGTTCACATTGGCACTCCATAGACGCACCACACAGGCCCCCCCCAAGTGCGCGTTGGGAATATTTCCAGTACTTGTCATTGGGAGGTTTTTATTGTTAGAAAACCTAAGTTGATTTTGAATTCAGTTCATAGTATTGTTAGAAAGAAAACCTAAGGAGGTTTTTATAATTTTTCTTATTTTTAAATAGAATTTAAGTTGATTTTGAATTAATTAATAATTTTTTATTAAATTTTCTTTTTATTAATCCTTATTAAACTTAATTAATTATATTATTTTTTTTATTTTTAGTGGAATCTAAGTTCGTTAGTAAAAATTAATTGGATATTAGTTTTTAATTCATCTTATTACATGTTACTAATTTATTTGCCTTTTATTGTATTAATAAAAATATTTTTATTAATAATGATAATGATTAATGTTTATTTTTGTCTCATTTAAATAATTTAAAAATTATTTTTACTATAATTAATTACCTTTTATTAATTATTTGAAATAAAATATAAATGAATTATAATTTATAATTGCTTATTAACCAACCTAGTGCAAGTGGGGTTTGATCCAAATCACCACTACAATCTTGGTGCAGAGGGTTTTAGAGCATCCGTGCTATTGATAACATACCGAAACCCAATTTTTGATATCGGATATTTTGATCCTTGTTTGAAGTGACACAACAACTTTCGACTACGACTTTGAAATAAGTTTAAACGGTCTCCTGCTTTCATATTTCAAATTCTTGACCTTATTTATCTGGTTACCATAATTGTTTATTAGCTTTCTAGAAGAGCTTGCATTTGTTGCAAACAAAAATCGTGTGAACACATTGACAATAGGCCATGAATCCATCCGTACATTGAGAATATTTGATATTTGAATGTTATAATATTCATGTTGAAGTCATCTTGACGTATAGGTGGATGTAATGCTGTCAGCGTGTTTCCATTGTGCATGAGACATAGGCAATGTTTGGGATCGATGTTATTTTTTTGAAAAATGATGATATATCGGTATTTAGGATTTCAAGTTTTGGAGTTGTATTATTTGTTTCCTGAAAAAATTGATCATGCTTAGAAAATCGGAAAAGTGTGGTCCGGAAAAATGTAAAATGGAGTGTTTTCTTATTTTTATATAATTGCTAGTAACATTTGTCTAATGTAGTGATGAAAATTATTTAAGTGGCAATTAACGTTTTAAAAACCGACCCGGAACCGGAACTATTATGGCCATCGGTTTTTGGGCCAGTGGCTCGATCATCCGATTTGAACAAATAACCTATTCCAATGAAAAAATACAAAAAAATTAAAATAAAAAGGTCAAAGCTGTTGAACAGGTCAAATGAATCAATGGTTTGACCCATTGAGTCGGGTATTGACCAATTCAGTGGTTTTTGGCTAAGGAGTGGGTTTGGGTAAAACGGAACTGATTGCCTGGATGGTCTTGAATCAAACAATCCGGCTGTCTGATCAACAATGGTTAAAAAAAACAGTGTTAGCAACAATAAAACCAAACAATGAATAGTCTTTTCTAAGAAAAAAAAGGCATACCTTGCATCACTGTTTTGCAATGGAATCGATTGCCTATGTTATGTTCAAGTCATCCCATGTCCCTTGGACAAATTTGCTCCTAGGGATGAACCTTGCATATTTGTGGGCTACCCACATGGCCAAAAAAGTTATCGGGCATGTGCCCTTGAAACTCAACGCATCTTCACAAGTCAAGCTGTTGTATTCTATGAATATCAGTTCCCTTTTCAAGATGACCCACTACCTGCCCAACCCAATTCTTTCATAGTGGTACCTCTACCTCCGGATCCATATGATGATTGTGACTATCCCAATACAAATGGCCCTTCTCATCGGAAAACAACCATTGTTACCATTCATCCCACCACTACTAATGATGTGGCCCAACCCATCATAGTTACAAATTCAGTTTAACCCATTACTCATGGTCACCTTTAGCGATCCCATTGCCAAACCACCATCCCTACTCGCCTTAATGATTACATTTACCAATTGCCTCATTCAATTTCACAATCCAACCATGGTACTTTAGAAGTTGAGCCCAAAACTTGTGCCCAAGCTGCCCGAGATCCCTATTGGAGAAAAGCTATGGCAGATGAAATTTTTGCTCTTGAAAGAAACAACACTTGGACTGTTGTGTCCTTCCCTCCAGGCAAGCATCCCATTGGTTCAAAATTGGTATACAAAATTAAATATAAGGTAGATGGTTCCATCAAGCGCTTTAAAGTGCAACTTGTTGCAAAAGGATATACACAGGTTGAAGGCCTTGATTACCATGACACTTTTGCTCCAAACAAAATTGGCCATTGTTCGTTATTTACTTACCGTTGCTGCCTTCAAAGGTTAGGATCTTCATCAACTAGATGTCAACAATACCTTTCTTCATGCAGACCTTCATGAAGAGATCTACATGACAATACCCCAAGGTTTTGAGACTACATACTTAATGCATGTTTGCAAGTTTTAGAAATCATTGTATGGCCTTAAGCAAGTTGCCTTCACATTTGGGGTTCAAACAATCTTCTAATGGTTATTCTCTTTTTACTACATGCTCCGATACCTCTTTTGTTGCTACTCTTGTGTACGTGGATGATATCATCATCACTGGTGATGACCAGGACTGAATCATATCTCTCAAAAGGTACATTGATGAGGAATTTGAATAAAGGATCTTGGGCTCTTGCGCTTCTTCTTAGGCTTTGAAGTCACTCACTCTACTTCTGGAATTTTCCTTAGTCAGCACAAATATACTCTAGACATTGTGCAGGACACATGCTTTCAAGATTGCAAACCAAGTTTGACTCCCAGGGAACAACAAAATCACTTCATTGATGATTTGAGCCCTCCATGCTTTGATCCAGCACAGTATCATTGTCTTGTGGGTCGGCTTATATACCTTACAACAACTCGCCCAAATATTTGCTTTGCTGTTAACTGCTTAAGCCAGTTCATGCATGACCCTCACCAAGAGCATTTTAATGTTGCTCTATGAGTCATTTGCTACATTAAAGGCTCATTCTCTACTGGCATCTTCTTCTTTGCCACGAGCACAATTCAGTTGCATTGTTTCTGTGATCCGGACTGGGCCAGTTGTCCTCTTACTCGTCATTCCACTACGGGATATCTCACATTGCTCAGTGACTCACCTCTTTCTTGGAAAACAAAGAAACAATACATGGTTTCCCGCTCATCAGTAGAGGCTTAATACAGACTCATGGTTGTTGCCACCTCTAAACTCGTTTGGCTACATAGAATACTTGCTGAACTCACTATTCTAGCCAAGCCTCTAACCCTCCATTGTGATAGCAAAGCTGTTCTTCATATTGTAGCAAATCTAGTTTTTCATGAGCACAAAAAGCACATAAAAATTGATTGTCACTTTGTTCGGGACTTGGTTCAACATGGGGACTTAATCACTGCTCACGTGACAAACATCTGTCTACTTGTTGATATATTCACCTAGGTTATTCCAATTCACCGTTTTCTCACACATTTATCCGAGTTGGGCATTAGAGATGCTAATATCAACATTATTTGAGACAGCTGCTATTGGGATATCAAGATTAGTTACGCCAACTGTTCTTTCTTGCCACGTGTACAAGAATGGTATAACAGATGTGAACGGATGGCTATATAAATCATTTGTATTATCCTAAATTAATACAATGAAATTCATTTTTTTTCTGCATATGATACTCGTCTTCATTTCTCGTTGCACTGTTTTAAAAGAGTGTGAGCATAGTTGTGTGAGGATTGAATCCAAATTCTCTCATTCATGAGAAGATGTTCTCGGTTCTCACTACGAGGTGATCTAAGGCTTACTTTTGTGAGGCAAAAGAGACCGGGTCTGCTCTTCACAAAGCGCACCTCACTTCAACCTCATAGGTACATCTACCATGTATAGAGAACATCTCTTATAATTATATATCATTCTTGATGGAAGATGTGCCCAATAGACGGTTGATGTGCATGTGAGGTCGGTGTAAGGTGCGTTTTGTGAGGAATTCCAACTGGAACCTGATCTCTTACAAGGAAATAAATACACTGACAGTACGATATCTAGTTGTGCTTAAAAACATCTCCCTTGCTTCGGATGTTAAAAAATTAAAGGTGTGGTCTGTTGGAAGTAAAAAGCGTATGAATGAAAGAAACACCAAAGGCAAATTTTTGGTTGATGAAGGATTGCCTACCGTCGTTTTGGTTGATGACGGAGGGAGGCCCACATAAGGGAGTAAGTTTTGTTCGCCGGATTGGAATCTACTGAACACTCATATTCTACCTTCTTTTGGTTATAAGTTGTAACTCCCGTCGGTCAGGCTCTGCCACGTGATACCCACCTAGGCTACAATTACGAATTTAAATGATGGTCAGTTGTCCACCAAACGCGACCTAAAGAGAATTAAGTTAAAAACCGACTCATGGCATGATTCCGTGAAATGTAATATGATATTGACGGTATGACCCATACCCATTCCGTAGTACAACATTCGCATATTAACAATCTGTCACCAGAAGCGTACATTAGCGGAGCTAGTTTTTACGTCTTGCCACTTCAGCTTTTTCAAATTTTCTACAAGTCCAGACTCTAGATTATTTAGCATAATCTGGTTTTCCATTGCAATATGTGTTCTTCCGTCCGAGTTCTGACAACCCAGCTACGAAATTTCTGAGTTCTGATCCTCAAAATATCTGCTACTGTTTCCCCTGTCTCTCGTTTTTTTTTTTTTTTAACTGAAAACGCACAGAAACAAGCTGAAGAGGAAAATTTATTTTATTTGTTCTGGATTCTTCAAAGTTTCTAAACAGTTGTTCAATGGGAAAGACTGGCTTGTTTGATCTTGAGAAGCATTTCGCTTTCTATGGGGCTTATCATAGCAATCCATTCAATATAGCTATACATATGATGTTTGTTTGGCCAATACTCTTTACGGCTCTTGTTCCCTTTTACTTCACACCTTCCTTCTTTGGATTCCCTCACATTGAATTCTCTCTTTTCGGGAACAACGTTCAGTTGGTTTTGAATCTTGGTTTCTTATTTACTTTGTTCTACGCGTTGTTTTACACCCCCTTAGATAAAAAAGCTGGCTCCTTAGCTGCCCTTTTCTGTTTCCTCTGTTGGTTCGGCAGCAGTATTCATGCAACTAAACTTGGGTTTTCCCTGGCTTGGAAGGTAAGTCCGAGTTCCCCGTTTTTCCTTCTCCTTCATGAAAGTGATGCTCGTTTTGATTATTTTGTGAAATTGGGCATTGCATCTTTCTATAATTTTCTCTTCTTGTCATCATAGTAATCAATCATTAGTTTGTAATGAAAATCTTACTACGTTTTGTATACTCTTTGAATTATTTGTTGTCAGTTGAATTTTCGTCTCTCTTTGTATGAATTGTAGGGAGATGTGCCTTTTCTCCTTGATTTCTTTATTATGTCATTTAAATTAGTTACGACATTTTGGAATTGCTTCTTGATTCTTTACTTATAGATCTGCTTTTGTCTATCTGGTGATATCAGATTATGTTATTGTTTTCTATCAATGTTTTTCTTCTTACTTTCCTATTTGTTCTTGTCCATTACTGCATTTAAGTACTTATTTGGACTTGCATTTCTTTGGGCATTTCCCTCAATGAATGGTTATTATTCAGATTTCAAAAAGAACTTTCTCATAAGTTCCAATGTGGTCATTTCTGCATAGAAGAACATAATTTCCCCTGCTTCATTATATCTAGTCTGAATACATCTTTCTGAATGTTGATGTTTCTAATACTCCTGATTTTTTTAATTCCAGATTTCTAGATAAAGGTGATTAACCTTTTGAAATGTTTAAACAAAATTAAGAATTTGGGACCTTTTGATACCTAAGTTTGACTGGACTGAATAATGAGACTGCTGTCCTTAAAGGACCTGGAGAACTGGCACTGTAAATCCGAGGACTATCTTACCTTCATGTTTCTGAAAAGTGGTTACACACTTGGACAGAATTTCATACTCCTTTTTTTGCATTCTTTTTCCCATTGGACTCTTTGGATAAACCTCACAGAAGGTGTTTTTCTTTAAATAAATTTGGGTTCCATGTGTCTTGGAGGTTCTGTAATGCCAAGTCATAGCATTTATGATGGAGAGATCTTGGTGATTCTCTCTCAAGGATTGACTTTGAAGGGAGAATAGAAGACTAGAAAACAGAGGATACTCAAGGATTGACTTTGAAGGGAAAATAGAAGACTAGAAAAAATAAGAGGGAACCCAATTAAGGAAAACTTCAAGATATTAAAAATTAGTGCATCTTACGGGTAATTGTTTTCTATTTTCTTGCATTTGTTTTGTTTACCAAGTCAAAAATAAGTCAGTTCCTAGTTTGTAGGCAAGTATCAGTAGTGGAGTTAGAGGTAGAGATTTTGTAGGTGGTGTTGGTTAATGTTAGTGGAGAAATCTTAGGAGGATTAACGTTAGTATATCCCTATATATATATATGTGTGTGTGTGTGTGTGTGTGTGTCAGATGTAGTTGAGTGGTCAACAACCAAAAGAATTCCTAATAGTACTGGTATTTTCTCCAATGTTTCCCTTATTTTTCTCTTAGTTATCCAACATATACTGCAATTTTTCCTCTCTTTTTGTTATACAAGAGAGGAGGGATATAGAAAGGATACAGAGCCGTGACTCAGAATGGAGCAATATCTTGGATGCAAGATAATACATAGTAACAGCTGAAGGTTCCTTGTTATACAATGGAGGAATTTGATCGTGTGCTCTTGCAAGTAACCGGGTCAGGAGAGGAAAAAAATTCGTAATGATGATGATAAGAAAAAACTAGGGCCAGAACATCCTCGTTACACAATGGGAAGGGTACTTTTTTATCATCTTACTAGTTTATGTGAAAACTTGCAGAAATTTTTGCTCCTATATGCCATACAGTCTGCTATTTAAAGGCTGATCAACCAAGGAATCTTCCACGTGGAATTTGGGGCACAAAAGTATCCCTAAAAATAGCCCTAGTTAATGGGGGTAAATTTGAGCCTCCAAACCCTTACCACATGGTTGGAAAAAACCTCGTTTTAGCAATTAATCTAATAAATTTCAAACTTCAATGGCCACTGTTACCTTTGGAAAACACTAATAAAAGATGAATGACAGGCTGACACGGATTTGAATATTGCAGAGGTAATCCAGAGGGTTCTCTCTACTTGGTGATCGGCTTTGATTGGCTATACTATCCCTCCACATGGCGGAAATATGGCAGGTCATATTGCGAGCTCCCCAGTTGGCTCAATTAGACAGGAGTCAAATATTTGAAAGAAATATTGAATCATTTCTGTTATTTAATCTTCTCAAATGATTAATCTAATTAACGTTTTTTCCTACTCAAGTTTCAGCTATGACTGTTATAGTTGGCACTGGGTAGTTGCACTTAGGAATTTTTATCTTTGTTTATGAGTTAAGTTGAGCAAGCATGAAAGGGGAATCTAGCAAGTTGCAGCTCACTAATAAGTCAAGAAGTAGGAATGCTTCTGTATAAGGTATCTTAGAGGTTTTACCACACCATTCATAGAGATGAAAAGGATTAACTTATACTATACCAAGAAAGGGATACTTACGTACAAATCATGCTAACGAAAGCCCAAGGCCTGTATCATACTGTTGTCAATCTATCAGAGCCTCAAAGGATTAACTTATGATAGAAGGGCAGGGAGAAACGTCCCTGCATCCCATAATTGGTTATATGCTTCAACTGTTCTATTGATGCAATTCTTTTGGGAACCCAAAAGAACTTAGATTTCATAAGATTTTCAAGCTTGAGGTGCACATATAGTTGAAGTATGCAGCAATAAAGCCGTCCATTCTAAGTTTGTTTTTAATTTTCTTCTTGAGTGCAGTCGTCTCAAGCAAGCCCAAGTGTTACGGTGTGTGGTAGGCTTCTTGGAAAACCGAACATGTTTGTGTTGGCTTTCCTAGATGGCAAAATTACAAATGTTGGATTGGTCAAATTCCAACACTACCATCATAACAACTTCTGGATTTTTTTGTCTTTTTTAGATTTTTCTTGCTTGGTTGCTCAACGTAAAGATTCATCCACCACATATTATGAGCTTTCTCTTTTACCAGCAAAAGCTTGAAGGTAGAAAAGATAGCATTTCCACAATTGTTTGTCTTTGTCTATGGGTTTATAAGGGCCGTTAAACAATAATGGTCCCAGCTATCCTGGGTCTTGCAAGGGTGGACTGGATATGGACTTGAATCCATGTTCTCATTCTTCTCCTTCTTCTCTAACCTGGAGTTCTATAGGCATTTAAACCAGAAGCTGCCAAAATATCAATTGGACATAACAAGTGTCAAGTACTATTAGATACGAACTTGGGTCCTTGTGTTTTAAAACTTGACCATTTTTTGTTACTAATCTGGAAAAGGGGTAGCATGTACCCAATGGTCTATAAAACCAATATAATTAAGAGGATTTACAATGTTATTACTAAAATTACCATTTACCCCACCTGATTTTGCCAACCAATTTGCATCCTGGTTTTCTTCCCTGAAGACATGCAAGTGATAAGCCTGAAGATCTTCCTTTACAACTATACCATTACAATCTTTTATGAGACTCAAGATATTCCAAGGCGGTCTAATTACTCTAACACTCTCAATGACAATTTTTGAGTCCCCCTCTATTTGGACTGTTATTGCTCCAACTCTTTTAGCTATCTGATGTGCTTATGTAGTTGTTGCACGCTCCTCTGCACATTAAATGAGGTTACTCCAATGACCATTTTATGTTCGTGATTTTTTTCTATTGCTTTCTTTCAACTATTCCAAGTGTCCATCTGTCTAGAATACTCATCAAAAACAAGCTACCACCTTCTGAAGAAGTAGAAGCTGCCTTGGTTTCATGTGAATGCTTAGCCATGAATCCAGTTGAAAAGACCATCCATGCAACGTTGATAATTGACTGGTAATTATTACAAAGATATGAAAATGTGAATAATACATGGAAAGGTTCTAATTAACTCTAAGGTCTCCTCACCCTGGATGTGGATTTTGGAGGTTCACATCCCATCTAAAGTCTTTTTCTTCTTGTAGATGCCACTTAGGTGGGATCTTGACCATCAATCATTTGATTAGGAATGGCAACAGGTCAGGTTCAGGGTGGAGACTATACACCCCATCCCTGTCCCAGATCCCTATCAGGAAGAAAAATGAGCTTCCATCGTATATATGATTGGGAAAAAGATTTATGGAAAAGAAAGAAAAAAATCATTAATTTAAATTGGTTTAGCACTTAACTAACATCATTAATCACCAAGATAAAATTGAAATTTGTCCAACATTTGGGCAGGGAGGGGGACTTCACTCCTCATCCCCTTCCCTGTCCCTGTCCCCATTCCTTCCAGAGCAATCTCCACCCCTGACCTGATTGGGTTGGAGACCAGGTACCCAGCAGGGACAGGCAAAATTGCCATCCCTACATTTGATCCAAAGAGGGTGCAATATAAGCAAATGTGCCCCTTACATGTCTTTGTAAGAAATTATCTCTTATTTTACTGATAAGAAAAAAGAAAGTCTCTTAATTGCTTTTGCAGTGCAATATCACCTTCAGAATTTGATCTTATGTCCTTTTGTTTTCAAAAGAGCTTGGTTGCACATAAGGATTTACCTATACTTTTTTCCTCATGCTCCCCTACTCAAGCTCTCATTGGGATGATTGAAAGAAATCTTGTGAACTGGATGCCAATGTTGAAGGACTTTGAAGGCTTGTAATGTGAGCATTTACATGGTGGTGGGAAGCAATACTTGCTCAACTCTTCTTTTGATGCGAGTTTTGTATGTATGTAAATTGTTTGGGGGCTTGCCACCACTCACTGAATATATATATTTTTTTTTATTTTTGGTAATCAACACCACTCACTGATTGAAGATTCTAGTTGGTAAACCTGGTTTATGGGCAAGTAGTATTTCATCCCAATGCGATGTAAGTTTTCCCCTCATCCATATTAAGGTCACTATCTTTTGGGGGTTTTCCACCTCTCACTGATTGCAGATCCTAGTTGTTAAACCCGGTTAATGGGCTTGTAGTACCTAATAAAAAAATGTAAAGAAAAAACTTGCATATATTACCAGAGGCATGTCCTTTCTCATTTAATTTCTATTCTAGCGCTAATAATATATTTTTTTGGAATTACTTTTCAGGTAGCTCTAGCAGCTCAATTGTTCTGTTGGACTGGGCAATTTTTAGGCCATGGGGTTTTTGAGATGACTTTCATGTCTCATTTGAAATACGATTCATCACTGTCCATTAGATTTATACAAATTATTTAATATTTCTGCAGAAATGGGCACCTGCTCTTTTGGACAATCTCATTCAAGCTATTTTGATGGCTCCTTTCTTCGTTTTGCTAGAGGTAATTTTCTTTTTTTCTTTTCAAACTACCTTTTATCTTATTTTGAGAGTAAGGTTCTCATTGTCATTGTTGGTTGTTTCAGGCTCTTCAACTATCCTGTGCTTATGAACCATACCGTGGTTTCCATGCAAGTGTTCAAGCAAAGATTTATGCTGAAATCAAAGAGTGGCAGTCTAAGAACCAAAAGAAGATTTCCTAATTTGGTGCTGGGGTATTGAAGAAGCAGAAGTTATCCTATTTCACAGCCATGGGTAGTCTGCAGTTCAAGTTACATAGAGTTGGTAGATTCTTCATCTATATTCCATTACATAATCGACTATAACTTATGAAAGCAAAGGTACAATGCAAATGGGACACATTGTATGGCATGCAACCATCCTGTTGGTTTTACTTTTACCTAAGGCTGCATTTCTTTTTTCAGTCAAATCAAATGGACTGAGTTTTTCATCAGGCTGAAATTTTTGAGCTGTTATTTACACCCATTTTACAGAGAAAAGTTTGTTTTCCACCCCTTAGTTTTGATGTAAATGATAAGGAAAACCAAGTTTTCATATTGTAGAAGAGGCAAAACCGCAAAAGTATAGCTTAAAACTTTCAATACCTACAGTTCCCCTAGATTTTATGTTGAAACAAATGGAATCTTAAGAGAAATTGAGGAAATGATAATCATCGTTTGAGTTGCAGGCTTTTAACATTAGGAGTTCTATTAGAAATGCTCAAGGATATATAGTTGATGATTGGACCAAGTTAACCACTTTGATTGGATGAATACCTTAACCTGCTGGTTGTAAGAGTAATTCGGGTTTAAAGTTGAGCCAACAAGTATATAAAAGGTTTTCGTTATTATTAAATCAAGCATGAAATTTGGTAATTTGTTTGAACCGTTGTGGTTGAGGACCTTTGCAGCAATGTTTTAAAAAGCCATCTCAGTTCTGGCCACCGGTTTCTGGGTCGATGGCTCAACCGTCTGGTTTGAATGAATAGTCCATTTTGTAAAAATTATAAAATAATAATTAAAATAAAAATGTCTAAAACCATTGAATAGATCAAAAAGGTCGGTGGTTTGACCTCTTGGGTCAATGGATTATTGACCAATTTCATTGTTTTGGGCCAAGGAACGGGCTTAGGTAAAATGGAACCAGTTGCTTGAATAATTTCTGGCCAAACGGTCTGAATCAACGGTGATTCAAAAAATGTTGCTTTGCAGCAGTAATTACCCAATATTAATATCAACCAGTTAAATCCAAAGAATGCTATTACCCAATATTAATATCAACTGTCTAGGATTTACCCATCATAGAGCCTCAATTTGATTAAGTAGTTAAAAATTCATACAGATAATTAAAGAAATGAGTAGAGAGCATCACTAATAATTAATTGTAAGGGGAAAAGTTGATTTTATATCGGGTTGTCTTTTCAGCACTTGTAAGGGTGATTTTGGCCTGACCTCGTAGCTCAGGTACACGTGGGCATGACCTTGCTCAAATAGTAATTTAGTATGACAGCGCAATGGACGTGAGCACAACTCGGAGGGGAAGTCCCACCGAGTTCAGCACGGCAACTCAGCAGGTAAACTACTTGTCGAAAGCCGCCTTGCCCGCACCTCCTCCCCGGGGTTAAGGCACTTTGGGGGGTCCCGTGTTCGAGGCACCCTGACCCCTTTTGAGAATGCACCGATTCTTCTTCGGACGCCCCGAGGAACAAAGACCTCGGGTCGGTCAGCTCGGCATAACCGGCTACAGGCAGCCCGTCACTCAAAGGATAGCCCAGCTCAGGGTAATTCGCAGGAGAACAGTTCGATATACCACAGGAGGGCTTCCTGCCCGACCACCGTACCCGACAAACCTGCGAATAGTAGGCATGTCCCCTCGTCGCGCTTGCCACCTTTAGAAAGGCGTCCCACACCTGACAGACACGTACCCTCCACGACGGCCCCGCGCTTGCCATCTCAGCCCTGCCTGTAACGGCTGTGGCAGGCTGACAGTGGCGGTTATACCTGCCCTGTCAGAAGTCAGAGGGCCAGAAGCAACGGAATTCAGTTATAAGGAGCTTATTCTCAAGGAACAAGGTATCTTGAATCACTAGCGCAACCTGCACTCTTAGTTTTCGTTCTCCTTCAGCTTCTTGCACACAATACTAACTTAAGCATCAGAGCGTTCCTACCGGGAAACCCCCCGGGAGTTCTTCCTCTTTCCTCTCATTTCAGGTACCTCTCTGGAGCCACGCGAGCACCAGATAGGAGTGACCAGATTGTGCTACATCATTTGGCACCGTCTGTGGGAAACGCTTCAAAAGGCCTTTCTCTCTAAACTCTTTCAGTTTTTTTTTCCTCCTTGAAACAATCCAACGCTCATGGCTTCCTCTAGCAACGTCGGACGAAGCA